CCACCTTTTTCTGGGTTCAAGTTAAAGCATATGGATTTTTATTTAATGAGTAACAAAGAACTGGCTCTCCATGTCTTTAGGTCAGCGTCAAACTATTGCTGCCCAACTTCTCTCAAAAGCCAATCTGAAGAAATATTTATGACGGGCTAATGAACTGCAAACCATAAAATCCTCAAATACCTTAAACTTGTTTAATGGATTAGATCAATCAGAAGCTATATACTTCAATGCATATCTCTGAACAAAAAACTAGCCTTTACTGATGGGTGCTTTGGTATTAATATCCGATCACCCTGTCCCTCAATCACCCCAAAACCAGGAATATCCACAGTACACTTAAGTGAAAAACCTCTACAAAAATGTGGGTGGTCGATCAAAAAATGGGCCAAAGAACTAAACAGACATTTCTCCAAAGACATACAGATGGCTAACAAACACATGAAAAGATGCTCAACATCACTCACTATCAGAGAAATGCAAATCAAAACCACAATCATGTACCATCTCATGCCGGTCAGAATGGCTGCTATCAAAAAAGTCTACAAACAATTAATGCTGGAGAGGATGCAGAGAAAAAGGAACCCTCTTACACTGTTGCTGGGAATGCAAACTAGTACAGCCACTATGGAGAACAGTGTGAGATTCCTTAAAACACTGGAAATAGAACTGCCAGGCGACCCAGCAATCCCACTGCTGGGCATACACACCAAGGAAACCAGAATTTAAAGAGACACGTGTACCCCAATGTTCATCGCAGCACTGTTTACAATAGCCTAGATGTCCATCAGCAGGCAAATGAATAAGAAAGCTGTGGAACATATACACAATGGAATAACTCAGCTATTAAAAAGAATGCATTTGAATCAGTTCTAATGAGGTGGATGAAACTGGAGCCTATTATACAGTGAAGTAAAGTCAGAAAGAAAAACACCGGCTGGGGAAAAAAAAAAAAGAAAAACACCAATACAGTGTATTAACACATATATATATGGAATTTAGAAAGATGATAACGACGACCCTATACGCGAGACAGCAAAAGAGACACAGATGTAAAGAACAGACTTTTGGACTCTGTAGAAGGCAAGGGTGGGATGATTTGAGAGAATAGCATTGAAACATGTATATTATCGTATGTGAAACAGATTGCCAGTCCAGGTTGGATGCATGAGACAAGTGCTCGGGGCTAGTGCATTGGGATGAACCAGAGGGATGGGATGGGGAGGGAGGTGGAAGGGGGGTTCAGGATGGGGAACACATGTACACTCATGGCTAATTCATGTCAATGTATGGCAAAAACCACTACAATATTGTAAAGTAATCAGCCTCCAATTAAAATAAATTTTTAAAAAATGTGGGTGATAACTGGTTAAAGCAGGTTGCAATACCCTAAATAACACAAAGGGATGTTGTTTAGTTGCTAAATCATGTCTGACTCTACCTTGCATTAAAAGACAAAATAAGAAGAGCCTCTCCTATCTATAAGAATGTTGTCTATTTTATCAGGATTTGTGAGGAATTTAGGGAGAAATTTTTCTCAAATCAAAGGTTTGCATTCTTAGCAGCTGGAATATTTTTATTTTATAGACTTCGTGGGTTTTGTATTGATTATCTTGCCTTTGTTTTTACTTATAAGAAACTCAAAGGTGATTTCTTGGATCAGCACTGGTATAAGCTTTAATAAAATGAACTTTCATTAATTAGTTCTCAGCTTACTATTCTACTCTTTCCTACATCTATCTTTTACTTTTTTTTCATCTTTTGGAATTTTTAACACAACATACCCTATATACAAACTTTTTTTTTGAAGAAAGAGATTGATGCATTTAACTAAATAGCTATAAACCAACTGTAAGATAAGGCTCCTAACCTCCAGGAACAGAGACAATTTTTTTTAAGTACAATGTTATAACAAGTACTATAATAGGGTGACAAGGAATAGTGGAACCACTCAGAAAAAGTAGGCATTTCCTCAAAATTAGGGGTGGAGAGGAGGGTTTGCACAAATGGGACTTAATGACTGGGCATATTAAGAACTAGCCAAATAAGTTATTTTCTGATCTTCGATTTTGTGAGGTCACAAGGGTTCAGGTGAATCAATAACTGCTTATCACAGGTCTAAAGGCTTCTGTCAGATCCACCTTCTATTCCTGCCTCTTGACACCTTATTTTTTTTTTTAACAAAGTGAGCTTTCCCCCATATAACAGTTTAGGTCCCATAATACTTCCTAGCACTACAAACACTTATTTAAGTTTTAATGAAAAACTTTAATTTAGTGCACTATCTGCCTACTCCTCTAACATGGAAAATAGTGTGGGCCCTGTGGAGATTGTTTAAGAACAAAAACAAGCCTTAGAATCAAACAGATAGACCTAGATTCCGATCCCAGTTTCACTGCTTATGAACTTACTTTAGTTCTTCATGTATGTAATGGACACAAAGTTACAGGATTAGGTGGCATAATCTAGCTATAAATTCTCAAAAATAAAAAAAAGCCTCCCTTTTTATTTTTTCTTACTAGTTCTTCCCTCTCCCTTTTAATTAACCTTCTCTGTTGTAGCAGGAAAAAATAGGAGGGAGAAGGAAAAGAATTAGTCAAAGGGAGTATTTTCCTTATTAAAATACTGAAGGAATGGAACAGATATATTTGTTCTATATGTTCTGTAACAAAGCATATCATTTGAATGGTATGTAACAAAAAGAACTTGGGTTCTGGATCTGAATTCTAACTTTTGTACTATCTGTTTGACTTAGGTGAGTCATCATCTCCAAAAGTGAGTTACCACTTCCGCAATACGAGGTTAATACACTTCCCCTATACATGTAACACAGTTACTGACACTTTTGACATGAGAGAATTATTTCTAGAGGAAGGGCAAATTAGTACAACCTTTCTGAAAAAGAATTTAAAAATACATATCAAGAGCTTTTATATTCCTGACCTTTGATCCACGAATTTGACTTCTAAGATTCTAAACCAAAGAAAACAAAGACATAAGCCTATGTATACAAGGGAAAAGAATCTGAAAAAATGTATATATGTAACTAAATCACTGTGCTTTACACCTGAAACTAACATGACATTGTAAATCAACTAGAGTTTCCTTTTTTTTTTTAAATGGGGGGGGGGGGAAAGCTTAAACTCAAAAATAAAAATAAATCTCAAAAAATAAAGACTGCAAGTGCAAACAAAAAAGATCTGTATATGTAAACAGTAACTGGTTCAAAACAGACCACTTTGACTATGAAGATTTGCATTCAATAGAAAAATACTGACAATATTAAGTGGAAAAAATGGAATACAGGCATGTATTAAGATTATTTAAAAATGGGGGGTGATGGTTAAGAACACAAGGAAATAACTCCAATTACTAACAGTGGTTATACATTTCACAGTGAATAAAAGGTTTATTCCTCCCTCCCCGTTCCTTATTTTTTTTATTGCGCTGACATTTTAAAGTCATTTTTGTGTGTCATGATTTAAAACATTTATATATAACCAATATGAATATTTTAAATAATTAATTACAAAAATAAGAGTTTCCCTTTCCCTGATAAATACAAAACATTCATCAAAAATAATGAGCATTCATTTATTCACTTTTCAAGGACATGGGAATGTGCTATATCCAGACAGAGAATGAACTTCTGAGTTCCTAAAATTTTGTCGTCATTCTAATTTGACTGTTTACCACATACCAGGCATGATTCTAGACGCTGGAAATACAGAACAAATCAAAGTGCTTGCTCTCACGTCGTTTTGTGTGTGTGTGTGTGTGTGTGTGTGTGTGTGTTTCTGCCTATGGGTCTTGATTTCAATTATTTCATCAACTACTATACGAAATTAAGAGTACTAAAACATCAGCCTGAGCGCGGGACCAGTCGTGTCCCAATCTTCGCGACCCCCATGGACTGTAGCCCGCCAGGCTCCTGTCCGTGAGATTTCCCAAGCAAGAATACTGGACTCGGTTGCCATTTCCTTCTCCAGGGGATCTTCCCCACCCAAGGATCGAACGAACCCGCATCTCCTGCATTGGCAGGATTCTTTATTGCTGAGCCACCTAGGAAGCCCTAAGACATCAGCCTACTCAGGTTTAAAACACTGCTTCACACCAAGTCCTTTTTCTTGGCTAGCCAAGTGTTCTCTGTGCTTAAAAAGAGCCCCACGTGGTTGAAGCAGCTCATGATAAATAACATCCATTCTTTAAAGCTCAGGCACCAGCAACACCTCAGATCTAGAAAAGTCTTTCCAGTTTAAAGCAGGGCTTTGCCTACATAGTTATTAACTTTTCAAGCAAACTAATGCAGGGAGTATATCGGTCCTCAGGTGTTCCGCAGATACCCCTGGACACCCTTCGAGTGGTTCAGGACCTCCCCCGCCAAGGGGCTGGGGGGGGGTGCAGGAAACCACAAGAGAGCTCCACCTGCGAGGAACTCTAGGTCAAGTGTTTTCACTACGGAAGGACCCGCCAGGGCGCGCCTGCAAACCTTGACAGGACGACCGGGGAAATTACTGCATCACTGAAGGAACCTAGGAAAAATCGACTCCTGGAATCTCCCAACTTCTAGCTATCACGACATTCCTGATAGAGCCAGCGGGGGAGAACTCCGCTCTCTTAAAAACAAGAAAAGGAAAGAAAAAAAAAGTTCCACCCAAAAGAGACACACAAGTGGCTTTCCCGACTCAAAAGATGAGTTGCACGGCCTCACTGCGAAGGTCGAGCTCTCATAACCCGCGGTACCACCGCCCGGACGCCGCGACCCCGGCCACAAGGCCGGGGTTAGAGGGAGGCCCACCGACCCGCCGGCCCCGCACTCCCGGGCCCGGCCCCCAGGCCTCCCCGCCGCCTCGGGCATGGCGGGCACCCTGGAGGGAGACGCCAAGGCCGCAGGACCCGGGCCAGGTGACAGGTTTATTGCCCCGCGGTGAGCAACGTGGGCTTCTCGTCACCCTCCCAACCCAAACTCCACCCGCGCATCCCTCTGTCGCCCCGTCGCGTACCTGACACACGGAGGCGCGGAACGCCACGAAGTCCGAGTGCTCCTCGACCTGCAGCGCCCGGTCCCCGAGCTCCGACTCCTTCTCGCGCCGGTCAAACAAGTACACCGTCCTGGGGCCGTCGGCTCCGCCACCCTCTCCGGTCTCCACCGAGGGCCCGCCGCCATCCGCCGCTGCCATATTGGGGGACAGGGAGAGCAAAGAGCCGTGCCGGCGCCTGCGGCCGCCGCGCTGAAGACCTAAGTGCGGGCCCCGCTTGGCGCCTTCAGCTCCAGCGCCCGGGGCAGCGCGGGGCCTCTAACCTGGCGCGCTCAGTTCCTCCCTCGGCGGCGGCGGCGGCCGAGCAGCAGCAGGCTCGAGGATCACCCGGGAACCGATTCAAACGCGCTCCTGCCCGAGCAGCACGTCACTTCCGCGTCCCGCCGCTCCCGGGGGGGTGGAGGAGGCGCGCGGCGCGCTCTTCTCAGGGCCAGGACCAGCGCCCGCCGCCGCCCACACGAGCTCGCAGCGCGACCCGCGACCAGGCCAGCCGCCAGGAACTGTGGCGCAGGAGGAAGAGGGGCGGCCGGCGGCGCGCAGGGGGCGGGGCGAAGCCGGCAGGCCGCGCGGGACGGGGCGGGGCTTCGGTGCCCGCCGCCGCCGCTGCTGCTGCCCGGGCCCGGCCCCTTTTACCCTCGTGAAGTTAGAGGGAAGCTCGGTCCCTTGTAGGCGCGGACGCTCTGAGGGGGCGAGCCGGTCACTGAGGCGGGAGAGCCAGTCCCGGGAGCAGCGGAGGAAATCTCCCGAGGGACTTATTTTCTCCCCGCCCAGAGGGTCCTGGCATCTTCCCGCCTCGCCATGAGCCCCAACCGAACTCGTCCGGCTTCGAGCTCCTGGCGCCGCGACCCCGGCTGCGGCCTCAGGGGAGCGTCAGGGCCGCGGCCCTCGTGGTTGGACCTGCCTCTGCAACAAGCACGTGGGTCCCCACGCGGAAAGAACCGACGCCAAGAGACCCGGGGCCGTCCTTTCCGCCCCAGAGCCTAGTGGTTTTATGTGGGCCTGGGCGTGGACCCCCGAGACAAAGGGGCCCCTGAGATTCTCCGCACAGAGGTAGTGTGACGTCACAGCCGCTTCCGAGGGTCCTGGCGCCCGACGCTGCGGGCTGCACACGCCTCCCCGACCCGTCGCCGAAACGTGGCTGAGAACCGAGCACGGGAACGCCTGTGCTACAGAGTTGCCAGGAATAGGTTAAATGGTGTTCGCAAAGAGCTTCACATAGACTAGGCTTCCTATAAAAGCCTTTATTGAGCTTCATTAAATATCCTAATCCTGGTCTGTAGTACCCTAACTCAACGACAAATAAGGTCATTGTTGGAGGACTAGGTTTAGTCATAAGGTCTTAAAAATGTTTAGGCAATAATTTGTGTTTTACAATAACATCCACTAAGACTGGGGGATTTTTTTGATTCTTGAGAAGTTCGGGTAATAAAGTATATTTTCTGTTTTACTGGATTTGCCAAACCCTAATGGTTAATTACGTGGATCGACCCATCTTTAGTGTACGTGAGAAACAGATACGCTTGTCCAAATAAAGACCCTCCAGAATCGTAGGGGTGTGTGTGTGTGTGTGTGTGTGTGTGTGTGTGTGTGTTGTATATTTGGCTAGACATATAAGGTAGTAAAGATGGAACACACAGTTGGAACAAAAGTGTCAGGGCATGTGTTTGTGAGGGGTGTAAATAATAGGGTTCATGTGGGGAGAATGGAGCAGTAGACGGTGGAAGATAAATAGGGAAGAGGGGTGTTGTGGTCAGATGCCATTCATGTTACTGAAGAGATAACTGGAGAAGGCTAAGAACAAAGTAACCTCAACTCCTGTGGGATTTCCTTGACCTCTCCTGTTTTAGCTTTCAAAGTCAATTGAACTTTTCATTAGAGGCCGTTCCATAATGGTGTTTGATTTAAATGACCAAAAAACATTTTCATCTTAATGCTTGTGTGTGTGTGCGTGTGTGTGTGCTCAGTCGTGTCCCACTGTCTGCAACCCCATAGACTGTGGCCCAGCAGGCTCCTCTGTCCATGGAGTTCTCCAGCCAAGAAAACTGGAGTGAATTGAATGTCAGAAGCAACTTAGCACTTTCACTCGTACATACAAAAATCTAAGTCTTGATTTGTGACTTATTAGTATGAAAAATAACTACATTGTAAAAAAAAAAAGAAAGAAAAATAACTACATTCTAATGAAAATCATGTTTTATATGTTCATTTTGAGTGATGTTAGAATTGTTTTTTGTTTTTCCCCCCCATCAATAGTACTGGTTACGCTGAACAAATAAAAACTTCCCAATTGCTTCCTTTTTGAGAAAAGAAACATTTGCTACATGGTATATTATTTCCTCTGCATTAGAGAACAGCTTTTTAAAAATATTACAAAAAATTCCCATAGTTGTTAACCAGAGTGTATGTTTATTATGTTTAACCCATAATGCCCAGTAACCATTCTGGATTTATTTGTTTCTGCCTGTAGACATAAATGCTTGTTGTTTGAGTTTAGGGGTATTTTTTTTTTCACATTCACCAAAACGGTCATTTTTTTTTTTTTCACGACCATGAGTAAGTCTGTGTTGTTTCAGGTTGCTGCCATCCTGAGAAACCTAGGAAACAGATCACCTCAAGCTAAACTGAAAATTTTCCTGAAGCCATAACCTTTCAAATCAAAGCGATGATTCTGTAATCAATTGGTCAATTTAAATACAAATAATTTAAATAGGGTAATTTAAATATAATGTACACAATTTATCAGAATTCCTATCTATATCTATGGCCATATAAATGCAACAGTTTACTTGCAGCAATCCCTGAAAGGAAAAATTGCATCACTACCAACAACATCCCCACTGCTGAGGAAAGAAAACTAATGTGTGTGTGCTCAGTCGTGTCCGACTCTCTGTGACGCCATGGACTGTAGCCTGCCAGGCTCCGTTGTCCATGGGATTCTCCAAGCAAGACTACTGGAGTGGGTTGCCATTTCCTTCTCCAGGGGATCTTCCTGTCCCAGGGATGGGACTCGCTTGTCTTGTCTCCTGCATTGGCAAGCAGATGCTTTACCACTGTGCCACCTGGGAAGCCTAACAAGACAAATGCTGGTGTGTTTAATTAGCCACACAAGGCTTTAATGGGCATTTAAAGTTCCTTCTAGAGGACCATTCCTGCATGAAAATTTGAAATCCTTATGTCATATTAACTAAAAGATCGTGAGTCATGCATGGACTGTCTCTTAGCTCATGAAACTAACCAGTTGATTAGAGACGTTGATGTTTAGGGTACAGTAGTATAAATAAATGTTTGCAATCTTGACTAGTGATCTGCATGTTTTTTCTTTACCCAACCATTCCTTACAGGTAGGCTCATTCTTTTCAGTATATGTGTTACAGCAGAAATCAGGAAAAGCAGTAACTTTGTAGTAATCAGAATGTTGTCCAACTATATATTGCTTACTATATTGTATTGGTGAACAGAGGTCAGTAAATAGTTTCAGATGTTGTAGTTGTTGTTTAGTAGCTAAGTCGTGTCTGACTCTGTGACCCCATGGACTGCAGCAAGCTAAGCTTCCCTGTCCTTCACTATCTCCCGGAGGTTGCTCAGATTCACATTCACTGAGTCGGCGATATCATCTAACCATCTCATTCACTGCCGCCCTCTTCTTTTGCCTTCAGTCTTTCCCAGCATCACGTTCTTTTCCAATGAGTCAGCCCTTCACATCACGTGGCCAAAGTGTTGGAGCTTCAGCATCAGTCCTTCCAATGAATATTCAGGACTGATTTCCTTTAGGATGGACTGGTTAGATCTTGCTGTCCAAGGGACTCTCAAGAGTATTCTCCAGCACCACAATTCAAAGGCATCAATTCTTGGGCACTCAGCCTTCTTTATGGTCCAACTCCCACATCCATACATGCCTACCAGAAAACACCTTTGAACTATACAGATCTTTGTCAGCAAAGTGATGTCTTTGCTTTTTAATATGCTGTCTAAGTTTGTCAAAGCTTTCCTTCCAAGAAACAAGCGTGTCTTAATTTCACGGCTGCAGTCACCATTCACAGTGATTTTGGAGCCCAAGAAAATAAAATCTGTCACTGCCTCTACTTTTTCTATTTGCCATGAAGTGATGAGATCAGATGCCATGATCTTCAAATAGGAACCATTTATTTGCTCTTGATTCTGTAACTTTGGCTAAGCTTAACTGGGCAATTCTGTTGAATTCACTGTATATGACAAGCAGCAGTCACCGGCAGCTTGACTGGGGCTGGATGGTCCATGATGGTCTCACTCACATGGCTGGCAGTTAGCCTGAGCTTGTTAATAAGTGGATCTCACGTTCCTCCATAGGCATCTCTAACAGCATAGTTTGGTTTCCCACTTAAGCTGTCACAGAACCTCAAAAGAAAACACTCCAACATGCAAGTGCCTGTCAAAGTTCAGCCTGCGTCATGTTTTCTGGTGTCACTGGCCAAAGCTAGTCACATGTCCACACTCCTGAGTGGTCCCCTGCCGTAATAGAGGGAAGTTTATAGAATTCACTTCTAATCTGGAAGCTGGCACTGATACGTGTGTACTGTGATGAAATCAATTTGATAACATATTACAAATATAGTTGGCAGAAAGAAGAGGGGAGTAATCGCGTTAGGATTTGCTGATAAGACTAAATTCCCCCAAAATGAAAACACCTAAAAAATAAAGGGCAAGGAAAGTGCGTTCTTAACTACTTCTGTCTTCTCAAATTTATTTTGTAAGTGTGTTTCTTTCTGGAAAGGTAAAAACAGTTTTAGTGACTTGAGTTTAGACTTTGCCAGCTGTATTTTTGCACTTGCTGTAACATATGACTCTAAGACCCCATCTATGGAACTGTTAGTGAACATTTAAGAGCTCCAGTTCCAGTTTTTGTTTTTGTTTTTTTTTAGTTCTACCACTTTGTTGCTACCAACCCATCTCCCTCCACCCTCGTGCACACATGCTCAGTCATGTAACCCCATGGACTGCAGCCCGCCAGACTCCTCTGTCCATGGACTTTTCCAGGCAAGAATACTGGAGTGGGTTGCCATTTCCTTCTCCCAGTTCCAGTTTTAACAAGTTCCCGGCTCTGGGTGGTGAGCCTAGAGGCTCTCCTTTGTCTATATACCCTCTTTAGATCCAGTGATTTCCTGTTGCTTTTGTACCACTTGGGATGTGGGAACCACTTGCAAGGCTTCTTTTAATCCTAACTCCCTAGATGGACTGTTTATGTATTTAGGAGGGCAGGGAGGACCATCTCGTCTTACCAGCCTAAACGGAATCTTGTGAAGCTGGAGGAACTTCCCTCTTCATCATTCTTCAAGGTACTGTATCAATGCCTCTAAGTCTTTTT